CTAGTCTACACACTAGTCTACACACTAGTCTACACACTAGTCCACACACTAGACTAGTTATTGCACGTAGTTTGTTGTTTACTACATTCAATACGAGTTATTAAATGTTTGTATTACACATGCGCGAATAAATTGGACCCCACGATGCACGCAACGTACATAAATAAATTGGGGTCAAATAGACCCCACGATGCACGAAACGCTCATAAATAAATTGGGGTCCAATTGACCCCACCATGCACGAAACGTAATTTTTTAACGGTGCACAGTAAGGGTTAAAATGCAATACTGCGATTATAATCTGAGAACAGTTTTGGACATTAGAATGAATGCATTTAATAGACAATCGGCTAAAACGCCCATAAGTTTAACCGAATATTATTTATTGTTGAAAATATTTTCGGATATAAATCAGGGCTTAGAGTATTTGCATTCAATTGTACCATCAATTATTCACCGTGATTTAACGCCGACAAATATTATGGTACTCCGCCAAAACCATAAAGGTAGCTTTATTAAAATATCAGACTTTGGTCTTTCTGTGTTTGACGAGTCGGGCTCTCAGAGTCATACTCCACACAAAGGGACTGAGAAATATATGGCACCGGAGGTTAAGTTTAGCGGCGATTATAATACTAAATGTGATATTTTTAGTTTTGGTTTAATTGCGTGCGAAATGTTTGGAATAAACTTTTATGCGTAAGTAAATTTGATTTATTTTCAAAAAAGTTTTTTAACTAAATTGATTTTAATTTAAACGTTTAGATCGGAAGATGTTTCCAAAAGAAACCACATCTCAATATCGGACGAGAAGTTTGAGTCACTCGTCGATACCCTGTTTAATATGATAGATCGATACCATGAAAAGCGACCGACAAGTGCTGACATACAGGCGCTGATCCACAACTGGACTGTCGATGCGATCGTTGTTTATAACGATTTTATTAGAAATTATAAGCATTTACTCAATCATTTTCCAAATCAATTTTTCTACAATTATATTTTGAATAAAATATCTAATGATTCAAATGATTTAGTTAAACAAAATTTTAGTTTAAGTACTAATATTAGTAGATCCGAACTTTTAGAAAATAATGTAAAATTAGGTGCAATAAATTCATTGGGATCAAATATAACAGACATTTCGATCACTGATATTCCACAGTTTAAACTCGTTGAACAAAATTCCCAATTGATATACGCGTTTAAAACAAAATTTGAAACAACTTTTGAAATTATTGAGTCCATAAGTACAGGTGGTTTCGGTTCTGTATATAAATGTGTCAATAAAACTGACGATATAGTGTATGCACTTAAAAAAATATCCATTGAAAGTAATTATATTAATTGTTAATAACGCAATTCCTTTATTTTTAATCAATTTATATTTTATGCAGAAAAATCTAATCCGTATAAAGCGTGTCGAGAGTTTCAGACAATGACTCAATTGAACAATGAATCCATTATTAATTATAAGAGCGCATGGATTGAAGACAATAAGTTTATCTATATTCTGATGCAGTACTGCGACCATAACTTACGAACTATTTTGAACACCAAAATGACTTTGTTTAGAAGACAATCGTCGGAAGCTCTCATTGGTGTAACTGAATATTACTTATCATTAAATATTCTCTCTGAGGTAAACAACGGTTTACAGTATTTGCATTCATTAAAGCCGCCGATCATTCACCGCGATTTAAAGCCCGAGAATATTCTTGTTAACGATCACAACCCCAAGGGTTGGTTCGTAAAGATATCAGATTTTGGTGTCTCGATATTTGATGAATCGAGCTCTCAAAGTCACACTCACGGCGCCGGCACTGAGAAATATATGGCACCGGAGGTTAAGTTTAGTGGAGATTATAATACTAAATGCGATATTTATAGTCTTGGTTTAATTGCGTGCGAAATGTTTAGCATAAACTTTTATACGTAAGTCTTTATGATTTAATCATACATGTATATAAATAATTATACATACAGTACTATACATATACAGTATGTTACACATTAGTTACACATATAAGTATATTATTTAAATATTTTAATATCGTTAATTACTAACATTTCATATTAAATTTGATTCACAATTTTTGAGATGCTTGATATAGACTTCCATTCAAATATGAATATTATATATTTTCAAAAATGTTATCAAATAAATTAATTTTAATGTCAATGTTTAGTTCGCCAGAGGTTTCCAAGAGAAACCACATCGCGATATCGGACCAGAAGTATCAATCACTGGCCAACACATTCCTTAATATGATAGACAACTGCCACAATAATCGACCGACAAGTGCTGACATACAGGCGCTGATCCACAACTGGACTGTCGATGCTATCGATGTTTATAACGATTTCAACACTTATTACAAGCATTTACTCAAACATTTTTCCAATCAATTTTTTAATAATTATTTACTTTCTAAAATGTGCATTGACTTATTTATTGGTTATTTAATAGTAATCATTGGCACACTTTATAATTAAACACAAATTGCTAAAATCTTCAGCCGATTGACAGACAAGAGTCGATATTAAGACTGATTTTTCAGGTTTAATATAAACAACTCACACACAGCGATGCTATACGTTAACCACAATTGGGGTATTACTCACACACAGCGATGCTATACG